TTCTCGATGCATAACATACTGGACGCCAAGGTTGATCGCCATTCCGTTATTCTAAAATTGCACCTAAACCATAAGAGGATGCGTCAGCTGCTACTCTGGTTGGACGCACAGGTGCAAAATGTGTCAACACGACGTCGTAAGTGCTTTTTTAATTTTTAGAAAAGCCTGTTCGTGGACTTCATTCCAGCAAAACTCAGAATTTTTAGCTAAATGTTGATTTAAAGGATTAGCAAGGTCTGAGAGATTGGGAATGAATTTTGCGTGCATCTGAAGAGAACCCAATATTTTCTCCACCCCACTGATATCAGTCGGCTTTGTCATGCCGTTTATGGCTGCAATCTTCTCAGAGTCTATTGATATGCCATCTTTGGAGACCACGTGGCCTAAGAATATTAACTCTTGAGACCCAAAAACACATTTGCTTTTGTTGAGTTTAAGACCACACTCCGGGAATCGTTCCTAAACTTTTCCGAGCCTGCTCTTCTTTGGATCTACCGCAAATAAGGGTATCGTCGGCTACATTGACAACTCCTTGTCCTGCTGACGTTATTCCCATTGGCAAACAACTGAAAGCGTAACGGCCAAATGGCGTAATAAACGTAATTAACAGCTGCGATTCACTATCTAGTGGTATATGATAAAAACCAGAGGTTGCATCGAGTTTAGAAAAATACTGCGATCCCGGGTCAATCATTGCCAATGTCTCACTGATTTCTGGCAAAACTAAACGCTCCTTTTCAACACTTAGATTTAACATTGTGTAATCCACACAAGTTCTGACTTTGCCATCTGTTTTTGAAACAACAACCATAGGCGCACACCACGCTGTAGGTTCAGTAACTTTAAAAATTATTTGAGCTTATTCCAATGCCTCAAGATGGTCCTTTACAGCTTGTCTCAAATGAATAGCAACTCTTCTAGGGGTGGAAATTGCAAAAGGTGAAGTATTTGGTTTCAGTTTTATACGATACTGTTTTCCTATATTTCCAATTCCAATTAACAGACCCGATCCACGAAAGCATCCCCAAATTTTCAATGCCGCCTTTTCCTAACAGATTTTCATGTACATTATTTGCTACATACATTTTAGTTGAGATTTCATTGTTGCGCCACCGTATTTGAGTATCAAAGGTGCCCAAAACCTGCATCATATTGCCGGATGCTGAAAATAACGGTTTCAGAGGTACTTCCAATTTTTTTACTTCTTTTTCATTAAAAAAGTTTGATCTTACCAGTGTGACGTCCGCACCAGTGTCTACTTTAAATTCTGTAGGTACGCCATTGATAAGTACCGAAGTTCGCCATGGCAATGAAGGCTTTTCTGTGATACTACCCAAGAAAAAATAATCGACATCCTCACTTCCTGTGGGAACTTCTTCTCCATTTATGTTTTGCCAAGATTCTGTGTTTGTGGAGTGCTCTGTAATGGTGGCTACCATTTTTGGAACACCACCTACTAACTGATCATTTGGCTACTATCTGCATTTGGCCTGCCAGTGTCCAATGTTGCCACACTTATTACAGACATCTTTTTTCGCTTGGCAATTCGCAAACGCATGTCTAGGTTTTAAACCACATTTTCTGCACTCTGCTTCAGTTTCGTAATGGAAATTTCCATTCCTAAAACTTTGTTTTCTTATGTTTTCACCTCGACTTTGCCCACGATGCACTGTGTTCACTTCCACTCCATAAGATGTCTCATTATATGGATCCATTGAAGACCCACTTGTACGCACAGTGGACTGTTGAAGCACGCAAAGATTCTGCTAAGCGTACCCGCTTAATAACTTCGTCCAATTGGTAATTCGCTCTTGCCTGTAACTGCGCTGACAATCTAGCATCAGACAGACCTGCAATTAGCATTAACTTTATCATCTCTTTTTCCATAGAACCCCATTCACACGTCTGTGCCAAAATTGTCAAATTATTTATAAAGTTGTCAGATGGTTCATCTGATTTTTGCACTCGCTGCAAAAATTTTACTCTCTCGTATACGAGATTCCTGCTGGCCGCAAAATACTCATCGAACTTCTCAAGAACTTTGTCAATGTCTCTTTCATCACCAGCTTGCATGTGAAAATATTTCAAGATTTTCTCACCTTTCATTCCTAAAAAGCCTATAAAATAATCTACTACCTGCTCAGAGCTGAAATTGGTTAACGCAGTTCGTTTGTAACGCAAAAATGACACTTTCCAGTCCTCCCAGTCTTCAGCTTTAAAAGAAAAATGAGACGGTTGCGGAATGGCTGCAGATGACTGTGTGAGTGCAACAACTGGTGGTGCCAAAATACGAGCAGCCGCATTTTGCTGCTGCAAATTTAACTGAGTTTGTAAAATTTGAGTTAATAGTTTTTGCTGTTCAAGAAATTGCGCAGAGTTTATAAAAATACCTGATGCAGAATGTTCGGAAGGTTCTGATCCTTCATTTTGGTCCTCTTTTTGTCATTATTCATTTTGCTAAACTTTCTTGAACGCACTTATTTAGCAGTTCCTTCTGGTATAGTTCCATAAGGATGATCTTCGACCGGAGCTTTTTTACCGCTGCCACCATGTAGCGATGATGTTCAATAGTTCTCACATTGTGTCTTGTGCTATGCTGGAGCTTTCGCCCGAGTTCCAATCGAACCCTGCGTGCCCGTCATAACTCTGACACTAATTACTAACTCAACAACTAAACTCTTCACAACTCTTAACAATAATCACTATCTAACTCATATCACAGTCAAACCTAAACTTAAAACTTCCAACCAATTCTGGACCAGATACATATATCCGCAAATCCATTCATGTACAATCTAGAATACTCGCGATAACTATCCTTCTCGAAAACACTTCAAGAATACCACTAAATTGGTCGACATCCTGGCGGCGGCGTTATTCTAGCAGAGACGTTATCGTAACAATATTACAGAGCAAAACCCTCTGGCCGTAATTTATTAACAGTTGGTTTATAGCTTCAACTCTTTGGTTCTATACATTGGTAAGCATACTCTTCTGTTGTATGACCATTTCTTCTCCATCTTGTATTTGCTACAGGACAGATGAGTGATTCAAAAGTAAGCGGCATCCTTTCGGAGGCGTATTCCTTGCATAAAAATAAGACAAAAAGTTCCTATTAACATGGGTCGTCCGGAAATGCTTCCTAAGGGAGCTACGCCCCTTCGAATAGGACACCTGAAAGACGTGTTTTTCTGTATAACTTTGAAACTATAAACTATTTTATAAACATTAGATGGCAATTAAGATACTAAATTAAAAATTCAAAAATCTTAATCAGTGTCACATACTGGGGAGGGTGAAAACATCCCTATTTTGTTTTACTCGTCAGGTTTTTGCGAAACATACGCAAATCAGAAAATTTTCAAAGTCAATTTTCTCGTAAACGGTACGCTGTATCAAATTGAACCAGTAGCTTTTCTGTGTAAAAAACTGAAAAATTTCTGAATTTTCAATTAGAATCGCAAAAACCTGACGAGTAAAAAAAATTGGGATGTTTTAACCCTGACCCTCCCCAGTATGTGACGCCACTGATTAAGATTTTTGAAATTTCAATTTAGTATCTTAATTGCCATCAAATGTTTATAAAATACGTCTTTCAGGTGTCCTATTCGAAGGGGCGTAGCTCCCTTAGGAAGCATTTTCGGACCCCTGTTAATAGGAACTTTTTGTCTTATTTTTATGCAAGGGATACGCCCCCGAAAGGATGCCGCTTACTTTTGAATCACCCTGTATAACAAATATTTTGACCTATAATAACCTACCTCATAACAGAGACTCTACAAAGGTATTTCTATGACTTCAAAAACATAATAATGTAATGAATATTATGTTTTCGCCTCGTGAACTCTCACAGGTATAAGGTTTGCTTGTTTGCTAGCAAAGGTATTCAATTTCATTATAGACTGATATATTTTCGAAATAATTTGCCCTTTATCTCGTCTATAATATACACTTATCCTTTATTAACTTCCTGCATAGTACATGCATAATCCTAGTAACCATAAGGTGTATATAGTAAATGATATCATTAAAGTGAATTATTTTTCGCATGCTCTACCCGCATTTAATTCCAGGCGTAATGAATTTAATGACGTTTTTAGCGTATGCTGGTCTATTATTCAAGTCACCGGCAAATCGGTGGTATTTCGAATCTTCAATCCATCAATTTAAAAACTAATACCTTACTGGTTGTTATTTATTTTGCCAAATCGTGACCGTATTCACTTCAAGGATTGCCAAAGGTTGAAGTTTATAAAACCAGAATTTAATATAAATTACATTGCATGTTGAGGTAATAAACAATGGGTTTGTTGTTTTGCTACAATTGAGATAAATCCTTGATGTTTAAGGACGAGGACAATCAAGCTTAATATTATTGAAAAATGGAGCTAATGGAACTGTTTCAGCAGTAACAAAATAATACTTTTTCCTTGAAACTTATTCATAAATGATATAATATAGCATTCAAGTTAAATTTTCCATCTGAACAAAATTTTGAGCAAATTCCAATGAGAACAATTTGAACAATGTAGGTACTGTAATTACCTACATTGTTCTATTTAACTTTAGTTTAATTGCAACAGCCATCCATCCTCAAGCCAAAATATGACTTCTTGTGCCTACAGGAAACTAATTTCCGAATGTAGCATAATAAAATATAAAGGTTTTGCAATTTTCTTTTAATAATTATTTCCTTTGAAGTACAAATTAGCTTATAAAAGAGCAGCTTTGTTAAAGATATATTTTTTTTTGTTTTAGGATTCTAGAAAACCTTGCATTTTTCTTTGAATAATCTCTAATTGATATCCGGTCATAATGATTATGCTTATAAAACCACCATGGAATATTTTTAATGATATGCACCCCAGTGTTGGCGGAAAAGGCAATTACATATACAGTGCAAAATTACAAGATGCATGACCTCATTTTTGCAGTACAATGAACAATACGTAATACCATCACACCTTTCAGATGTTTGAAAGTAAATTTTGGAAACTTACCAATCAAGAAGAGTTGGGCTCTATTCGGACCAAAAAATCCTGAAACAAAAAAAATAAACAGTTATAAACTATGACCTGAAAAATGACGAAATACATTCATTAATATTCAACAAACTTGCGTCTCTACTAAATATAGATTATGGTTTCATCTATGACATGTTCAGTCTGGTAAAACACTTAGTTTTGAACGTGCTAATTGGAAACACTTATAGAATTGGTAATTAGAATTAGTTAATTGGGATGCGTGTATAATTAACAGGTTTTCTGATGCGTGCGAGTTTGATTGCGAGCTCGAATTATAAACTTTGCTGTTTAAGTATTCAAAATTGGCTCTAGACGCATAAAAGTTTTGAGAGCCTCATCCCAGTCATCCCTATTAGCACCTATCACTATTATTACTGATAATAGGGATTAATTTATTCCATCATTATGTCTGGTTAATTGAAACTTCTTGAAAATTCCTCCTATATGTTTTGAACTCGAATTACAGCGACAATTATTATTGTAGTTTTCAATTTATGTTTATATCTTCTGTTATTTGATAATATGTGAAATTCACAGAGACTAAATTTAAGGTTTATTTTTAAATAGAAAATCTTTTACCTCATCTTTGTAATTAATATACCTGAATACGAATACCTATTTAGATGATAAATTTTGTAACAATCACTACATAATTAATTTTTTGAGTTATTTTCAACTTTCTTTTTGAATAATTGCTATTCTGTTATGTCATAATAATTGTAATTTATTTTTTTCTTGAAATTTCCAATATGTCTTATCAATGTTTGGCATTTTTGATAAAATGGTGGATAATTTATAAAATATGTATTGTTGAACTTTTTATTCGATTCAACTCAATTTAGACAAATCATATATTATTCTCCAGTGACAATATTATTCATTTGAATTATGGTCATTATTCCCACATTTCATGCAAATTTAAATTTACTGCATTTTTTTGTTGAAATGTTGAAACCAGAATAATTACAGCAGCATAAAATATTTATGTGTTCCATAGTTTTTTTGGAAATTCAATAGATCCAGAATTGCAGAATATTATGTTTTATTATTTTTTTTTAATCAGTTATATAAGTAGTTTTTTTTAAAATACTCGTTTTCAATTCATTTCTTCCTCAATATCTACAATTTTTTTTTCGGGGTTTTTAATTTATTCACCCCTATACCTTGTAATTGGTATTATCAAGATGTTTATTTGTCTTTTCCATATTTTTTTAAAATTTCTTCCTCTTTATTAACACACAATTTTAATTGGTCCTTCTTTCAAATCTTGAAATTTGGTAATTCATAATAAATGTCTACTTTTCAAATACTGTGATAATTATTTTTTTCTCGTTCTTGGATTTCTTGATTCAACTTCATCTTCTGAGAATATTTTTATCTTTAAATTTCTCCTACAAAGTCTTACAAAAGTTCAGAATTTCCGATTTAGGTACCAAATTACAAAAGTAGAGTTTTAGATTTTCCGTTGTTGGATTTTTAAATTCTCAGTTTCTTTTCCCTTTTGGTCTCTCAACTTCTCAGAATTCTTGAATCTACAATTTTCAACTTCTGTAAAACGTTTTTAAAAGTCCTATAAATGTTCAGAATCATTGTTATGTTTAATTTTTTCCCGTTCTTAGAATTCTAAATTCAACTTCATCTCCTGAGAATAATTATATCTACAAATTCATCCTAACAAGTCTTACAAAAGCTTAGATTTACCAAATTACTGTACTTAGCATTTGGTGGTTGGATCTCCAAATTCTCAGTTTCTTTCCCTATTTGGTCTCTCATCTTCTTGAATCTTTAATGTTTTAAGTTTTGTATTGTGATGTCTGACATTGAAGGTTGTGTTGGCTTGTAACTATCATGGGATTCATGGGAAATGCGAAAAGATCGATATGCAAGGTTTTCACATGAAAAAGTGCACTTGGAAATGTTCCATATATGTGATCCGTTGCGAAATGAGGTTATAACAGAGGTAAACAAACAGTATAAAAAATCGAGAAAAAAGAGCCGAACGGAAGATAGTTATTCGGATAAAAGTGTTGTAATTGAAATTTATGAAACCTTGAAATATTTTGTCAATACCACAAAGGAATTGCAGGAAAAAATCGATTTATTGTTAGCAGAAAGTATTAACCTAAAAAAAGAAATATCCGATCTAAAACGATTTCGAATCAGAATTAAATGCTCTTCAAGATAGAACAGGTTTGGAAGCGATATCTCTAGCGGTTTTCAAGACATGAGGCTTTAAAGTGTATGTGGCAGGGGCATTTTTCAAACCAAAAGGCATACGTGTGTATTCACAAAATCACTCTTAGCTTGATGAATATTTCTCAAACTTTATACTAAAATAAACAGCTGCCAGATTCTATTTTCAATTGTCCGTTATAACACTCGATATCAAATACGACAGCTCCGGACGTACCGTGTAATATGTACAGCGTTGCCACCTTTGGTAGATTTCTACTTTTCTGGTAGATTTTCAGCTTTTTTTGTAAAATTTTAGTAGACAGAATTTCTAGTAGAAAATCTAGTAGATTCTGGTACTTTGTTCTTGGTTTCACTCAGAACTACACCATTTCAGCCTCAATTTCGGAAACAGTAACTTTTATTTAGGAAAATGTAAAGTAATTTTCGGAAAAAGTCAAATCAATTTCAGAAAAAGTAAAGTTAATTTCGGAAAAAGTAAATTCAAATTCGGAAAAAAGTGAATTCAAATTCAGAAAAAATACATTCAATTACGGAGAAAGTGATGTTATTTTTTATAGAATAATTTGAATTGATTGGGTCATTTATTTATTTAGAAAATCAAAAAATTTGTCCAAATTTCTCAAAGAGACCCGATTTTTAAACAATGAAAGAAAGAAAAAAAATTACCAGGTCTACAGAATGTTTATTATTTTATTCACTAGTAACATGTGTTTCGCTCATATGAGCATCATCAGACCTACAAAATAATATAGAACCAATATATGTAGAACCTAATTAAAGTACACTGATTGGAATCGAACGGGTTCGACTGGAGGTTTATAGTCACTGCTAAATTTACTTTATATCAATTCGAATTATTCTAAAAAATAACATTACTTTCTCCGTAATTGAATGTACTTTTTCCGAATTTGAGTTTACGTTTCCCGAATTTGAATTTACTTTTTCCGAATTTAAATTTACTTTTTCCGAAATTAATTTTACTTTTTCTGAAATTGATTTGACTTTTTCTGAAAATGACTTTACATTTTCCTAAATAAAAGTTACTTTTTCCGAAATTGAGGTTGAAATGGTGTAGTTCGGAATCATTCTGCACATGCGCATATTATAAAACGCGTTTTCGTTTTTTCAGAATCGTATTCGAACTGCGTTGACAGTGTTTTGGTTGTTCTAGAACTATTTAAGAACAGTTCTGGGATTGTTCCTAGAACGATTCCCTCAGTTCTTGTTCTGAAGGAGGAACTGTTTTGGAATTTTGTCATTTGCGGCGTGTTTTGGTTTTTTTTTGTTTCGAATCGGTTCAGAACTAATATTAGAACAGTCCTCTATTATTTTTTGTGCGCAATCCCAAAACCGTTGCAAATTTCGAACCAAAACAAAACTTTAGTGACAGTAAGAGCAATTATTATGAAGCGAACATATGTCTTGTTTTGAACTTTATTCCTTAATATCGTTTTTTGTCTGTAGAACCCGTACTGCGCTAATATATTGTTATCTTTTTTTATTAACGCTGGAAGCAAGACGGAAATACATTCTCATCAGAAATTGAAATGGCTATGACAGACTACGAGCGTAGCTACTCCCAACTCCCTAATATTTTCCATCTTTCTTATTAAATAAATTACGTACATTTTTCATACGTATATACAATATAAAATATATGAGATATCAGCTTTGTTTCAACCCATCACGAAACCGTAATATTACCGTCAGGACTCAGGATTCTGCGCAAAACCTGAAGTTTTTGCGTAGAAACCGAAATTCGTATACAGAGTGGTTCCGGAACCGTTCTGGGACGGGTTTTTGACGAGTTGGGTACAAACTTATAGATTAAGAGTAGATTTTTGGTATTTTTCAAAATTGTTTCAGTAGATTTTTAGTAGATTCCGACAAAGAAGCTAGTAGATTCGCTAAAAAAAAGGTGGCAACGCTGAATATGTATATGAAAAAATTGAAGAATAGAATCGCTATTTTGACAATTCGATAGGAATTTCGACTCCACTCGTGAAATAGAATCCAGCAGCAGTTTCGAATCAGAATTGAATGCTCTTCAAGATAGAACAGGTTTGAAATATCTCAAGCGGTTTTCAAGACATGAGGCTTCAAAGTGTATGTAGCAGGGGCATTGTTTAAACTAAAAAGCATACGTGTGTATTCACAAAATCACTCTCAGCTCAATGAATGTATCTCAAATTTTGTATTGAAATCAACAGTTACGATTCAAAATTGGATTCTCTTCAAGATAGAACAGGTTTGAAACCGATATCTCGAGTGGTTTTCAAGATATGAGGTTTCAAATTATATGTAGCAGGGGCATTTTTTAAACTAAAAGGCATACGTGTGTATTCACAAAATCACTCTTAGCTGAATAAATATTTCTCAAACTTTATACCAAAATTAACAGTTTCGAATCAGAATCGAATGCTCTTCAAGATAGAATATGTTTGTAATCGATATCTCAAGCGGTTTTGAAGATTTGAGGCTTTAAATTGTATGTGGCAAGGGCATTCTTAAACTGAAAGGCATATATTGTTCGTCGATTTTAATCTGATACTCGGACGGAATGTGAGCTGGTGGCTCCCTACATTAGAACGCCAATGGTTACCTGACGTCACACCTGTTTTTCCCATATGAAACACCCCCTCGCTCCTCATACCGCAAGTATCAGTTAAAAATCGACGAACAATACGTATGTATTCACAAAATCACTCTTAGCTCAATGAATATTTCTCAAATTTCATACTTGATTTGATATTTTCGAATCAGAATTGAATGCTCTTCAAGATAGAAGAGGTTTGAAATCGAAATCCCAAGCAGTTTCC